TGTGGTGGATGCCTATAAATAGGCCATCACCCCCCATGTATTCAATACGTTATTTCTACTATACTGAAGTGCTATCACTTTCTCTACCCGAGATATTTTCTACCAACAAATAATAATAATAATAATAATATAATAATTAAATAGTAGCATAATAATATTATAATAATAGTAATAATACTATAATAACTTTTAAAAGCTAGCTTTACCCTCAAAGTGTAGCTCATATATACATGTACATACACATTTCAAGTCCATTTATAATAAATCAAAATATCATACGAATTAAGGGTTGTAAATGAATCATAAAATTTCAAAAACTTTGGAATAGATTTATGCATATTAATCTTAAAATTGATTCACTTTAGTATATTTTGCACAACCTAATTAAAAACGCTAGGATCCATTCAATTTGAAGAAAAAAGTAAACTGGGGGGTCTAGCTCACATGGTAGGAAGATGGTGCCACAAGATGTAACCTCACTATCTTTCTATCAAAGTTTGATCAAAGCTCAACTTACATCCTCAGGGATGGGATGCCATTTTTTTATAAAGAAAAATGTAATGCTATACCGTCGCCGTCCTCACATCACACCGACCATCAACTACAACGTGATTATTTATCTAAACACCGATTGCTCAACGCCAAGCGTCTTGATGTAGCGAATGTTAGTATATATGTCCTAGCGACAATCACTTTTTAGAGATATATGGATTTGATCACATTCGGTTTTATATATTTGATATATCCATTATTACACATTCATGATTAAGCATTTCGATTGTCAATGTCTTATTCATAATTGTGTTCCCTTGGACTTATGTTGTCAATAAGTAAGTGAGAGCTTATATGATACTCCGTATAACATAAGGTCCTAAAATAGTCTCAATCAATGATCATCAAGAAAGAGATATTGATGATATGCGATAAGATTGGTATGTGGAGTGCATCATACTTTTAGAAAGTATAGTTGATCCCACAACTATGAGCTCCTGTAATTCACGATGGTCACATAGGTATTTTAGAGAATATTGGCATACCCACCGAGAAACCATCTGATAAGTTCTATTCATGTGTCTATGGAATTATCGGCGTATAGAGCAGTGTAATAGTCCTCCGACTTGAGGTCAATACATACTACATGTGCGGAGTGATGTACTTTGACCATGACCAACACTTGCACTCTAATCAGGGTAGACACGACATGTGTTGGGTGCATCATGAAGCACATGGAGTAGTAGTTGAGCCAAGAAAGGATTCATTACTCGTAATAGATTAAGAGAGAACATTTCACTTCCCATATCTAGACGGATCATAAAGTCATTGGCCAATGCAAAGATATATTCGTTTTGGATATCGTATATGATCGTTATGGATCATCTAGAAAGATTGAGAGAGAAAGAAACCAAGTTATTGGAATAAACACAATATCATGTTCTAGACTTCATTGAATGTTCATTCAATGAAAGGAACATATCACTATGGGCTCTATATTATAGAGAGTTTGAATAGTTCCCAAAAATGTCCTTATATATTAAGTTTGTTCGGTAAATCATCTAGGGATAAATATATATGGCTCTATGGGTCACACAACAAGTGATTATACCTTTCGAATAAATTGTTAGAAAGAATTAAATATTATTAATTGGATTCAGTAATATTTAATTCATAATGCTGAAAATAAGATGAGTTAAATATTAATTAGATTAATATATTTAATTCATCATGATGAAGGATTATTCTATTTGATAGAATTAATTAAGTAAAATAAATTAGATTTATTATACTTAATTAAGATGTATTTTTAATTACATAAAGTTGATAATTTCTTTCACGATTTGGAATTAAAAATAAAAAGGAATTGAAATAAATAATAATATATATAACTAGTAGAGAGTGTCTGCATGCCACTTCTCTATGGTTGTTATTATTATTTTATTTTGTTTAATCTACTTATCTACTTATTTAATTAATAATGAAGTATTGGTCTTGGTAGGACTAGAACTCATTAATGAGAAAAACTTTCACTGTGATTGAGAAATTAGTTTAAATTAGAACTAGTATAAATACATCTTCCTGACCTCCTTCATAATATAGAGACCAATTTTCTAGATTGAATGTTATAAATTTATTTCCATGCGAAGAGATTTCTGTACATTGCTTACCATATACTACGTATAATACTCCGTAAATAATTTAATTTAATGCTATGATTCAATGCGGGAATATGCAGGAAGGAGGGTTACATTATGTTTACTTCGGAGATTTCACATATTTAAATTATTTTCTCCAATTAAATTTGAACAAACGTAAAAATAGAGTTTTTTCCTAAATTAATGCAAGTTAAATAAATATTTACCAAAATAAGGTTGGATTAATTAACAACAATTCCCAAACTACAGCTACCCTAGTTAAAACAAAGTCCTTGGTTATGCATAACCGGTGATCTAACCGATCTCAAGGGACGAGTAGCAATGCAGATGGATGGGCTCCTCAAATTATAAAAACCTTTTTTCCCTTTAAATACTCTATTAAGTATAACATTTTTATTTTTGCTCTATTTTTTATAAAAAAATATATCACAGTTCATAACTTTTTATGAGCTTTCATTTGACACCAATGTTGCATATGTAATTTTTTTAAAAAATTGTAGAGCATATGGAGCCCGTTTGGTGATCTTTTTTCCGACTTACCAGTTTTATCAACCAACTTTTTCACCAAACACATAATTTTTTAATTCGCTCGTTGAATTGTGTAATAATCAAATTAAGTAAAGTTAGAGTTATTTTTCTGATTCATTGGTTAAGGTATTGTAGATGTCCATTTCAGCTTTTTTCTTTACTTATTAATAAAAAATATTTTAAAAAGTATAATTTTTTACGTAGCAATAAATAAGCCGATTCAACCAATACACTCATGTCAACCTGAACTTCATAAATTTCAACATAATCAATCAATTCAGTCAACTTTGAGTGTTACTAAACGACCTCATAGTGTCTTATTTAATCTCAAATCTGAAGATAAAAACCCGAAGAAAAAAAACTAAAGTTGGTCCCGTAATTATTAATCCAACATTATTTTCTTAATCTTTTATTCAATTAGCATTAGTTCGGAAAAACATAAATTATTTTCTATTAATAAAATGAATAAAAATAGCTAAAATATACATCTATAGTAAATTCAGCCAATGCAGTCAAAAAAGTAATTCCAATCTCACTTATTTTGATTATTACACATCAAGCACACAAAATCAAAAGTTTCGTGTTTGGTGAAAAAGTTGGTCGATAAGAGTGATAAGTCGAAAAAAGAGTCCCCAAACGGGCTCCATATGCTCTTCAGATTTTTTTATTAAATTACATAGGCAATATTGATGTCAAATGAAAGCTCATAAAACATTAGGAATTGTAATGTACTTTTTATACAAAATGGAGCAAAAAAAAAGTTATAGCCATTTAAAGGAAAATGTGATTTTTATAATTTGAGGGACTCATCTCCATGGTTGATTGCTACGTTTCTGGCTCATTGTTTAGAGCATCTTTATAATGGGAGGCTTTCAACATTCAAAAAATTGTGACACATGGCAATATATGTATGGACTATTTATCCATGTAGGATGAATGTCAAAGTTTAATACGAGATGTATGGAATGTTCACCTAAATGCTCCACAATGCATACAGTTGATTTCTAGCATTTCTGTACATGTGTTTTTTTTTAATTCAAATAAAGCATTGAAAGTTTGTAACAGCTAGGAGCATGTACGTACGTGGATCATGGGCACGAGAAGTTCGATATTTTGGCTCCGTTTTTTGCTGATTCAGCATGTGGAAGACACTATCACATGAAGACTATGATGTAGACAATGTCAAATTTACTTTTTGACATGTCAGCATAACATCCATGTTAACATCCTCCCTTGGAGATAAACTTTTTACTCCACAGTTAAAAAAGGATGATGTAACCCGTTTTTTTAATGTGAACAACCTCCTATTGGAGATGCTCTTAGTAACGTATGGCGGTATGTTGAGATCACCTTAAAGTGGGGGCTATTGTTTAACTAGGATAACTCTTAATAAATATTATTAATAATATTTATTTTATTAGCATTAATTAAGGAAAAAACTCGTAAAAATATAGGGAGTACTATCGTACTATGTATTTATTGATTTTAATTTTGGGAAAAGGTGCAAATAAGCCCATGTACTAACAAAAAAAGGTCAAATAAGTCCTTATTTAGGAGGCTCTGTCCGGCCGTCGTCATTTCGGGTGGTTCCCGGTGGTATTTTTTGATGAAATTTTTTGAGCATCTTATTTATCAAGTCTAGTTTACTCATACCAAATTTCAGCTAAAACTTCAATCGGGAATGCATTCAAATGAATTCTTGAAGATAACTGCGCTTCTAACTGCGCAGTTATTTTTAAGAATTCATTTGAATGCCTTCCCGATTAAAGTTTTAGCTCAAATTTAGTATGAGTAAACTAGACTTAATGAATAAGATGCTAAAAAAAATTCATAAAAAAATTCCACCGGGAACCACCCCAAATGGCGACGGCCGGACAAAGCCTCCTAAATAAGGACTTATTTGACCTTTTTTGGTTAGTAGATAGGCATATTTGCACCTTTCCCTTTAATTTTTAGGAACAACCCGTCCCAAATAGGGGCGACATGTGAGTCCTACCGTTTTCACGTTCAAAGAAGTAACGCACGCCAATACAATGCTGAATTGTCACTTCTCTTCTCTCAAGTCATTCCATCTGCATGCCCGGCCCAATGGAGGCCTCAAAAAATTGAAAGCAAAAAATAAAAATTTAATACCAGTATTAGGTAGCCCATGTCCCAAAAAAAGAAAAAGTTAAGGTAGCCAGTCTGAATAAAGCTACTCCAGGGCGTACCACAAGCCTTCCGGCAATTAAAGAGTTGGCCACCAGAAGCGTACAAGCGATCCGCCGAGTCGCCCAGGTGACCAGTCGCCCACCGTCTACGACCAGGGCCGCCACCGTAGCACTCCAGTCGCCAGCACCGCAGTCCGCCATTCCCGCAGTTTGCACCAGCCACCAGTGCAACACGAGTCAACCGTCTACGGCCTCTGCCCACTTCCCCTGAAGCTGTGAAGCAGGTATGTTTATGTATTTTAATTTTCAAATGATACTCCTCCGTTCCATGAAACTTGGCCAAATTAGGTGAGTAGGTTTATATAATTTGGGCCTTAAATATTCAGTACAGGTGTACCTCCAGTGAGTAGGAAGGTTTATAGAGTTTATTTCTTAAATATTCAGTGTAGGTGTAATTAGGTGAGTATGTTATACAAAGTTTGTTACTTTATAGAATTTCGAACGACATTTGCTAAAAATGAATCATACAATATTTTGTAGAATTGCTGGTTATGACAGGATACTTCACTTTGAACATCTTTTCTTTCTCATTTTCGTTATAATGTGTTATGAACTTTTTTTGTATACCGAAGTATTCGTTTTGATGGTTTATGTACTTTTATTATTTGTAAATAAATTGTAATGCAGAAGAATACATTTTAAAACCTAGATACTAGTACATAGTATATTTTTATATTTGAAGTAAGTCATTCCTCTATTTCTCCAATTGCCCAGGCTTCATTTGGTAAACTCTTCTTCAAGAAGGAAGCTCTGAAGATCAAGAAGCCTACTGATAATGGAGAGCGCCACCTTGTTCGCAGGACTTCAGCCCACTCCCAGTTATGACTATCATTACCCTCAGACTTCAGCCCACTTCCTTCGTCTTCCCATTCAGCCTATTGTCAAAAGGCAATTTTCTCCTCTCCCTATCAAGGTAACATCATTTGTAACACGAATTTCACTTTTGTATAATTTTGGTATCTCCTTGGGAAATCAAGTGTCTTAATTGTTAGTGATATTTTTTTCAGCCTCAAAAGCATTCGTATTTTGTTTCTCACAATAATAATACTCTGCGTGTGGCCTCACCCGTGAGGTTTGTACTTCTTACCCCTGAAACTTATTTCTTTTCCATTTCATGGTCTTGAGTTCAAGTTTGGCAGATTCTAAAAAGAATGCAAAACTGTATACATTTACTACTGCAACAAATGTATTAATGAAGAACAATTTAACGTTTTTGGCTAAACTTGTTTATATGCTGGTCTTACCTCAATTCTTTTCATTTATATTAACTTAGTTCGGAAAACCTTTCATTGAATTCTTGCTAGTAATAAAATTTATTTTGTCAGCTTTGGTAAAGTGCTAAATTATCTGTTGTCTATTTGTTTTCCAATGTAGCAGCAATGCCACAACTGAATTAGCTAGCATTGATTGGGATAGCCTTGGATTTGGGTTCATACCCACTGATTATATGTATATCATGAAATGTGCTCAAGGTAAAAACTTTACTAAGGGTGAATTACAGCGTTTTGGGAACATCGAATTGAGCCCATCTGCAGGGATATTAAATTATGGCCAGGTTTGTTATTTACCCCCCATTTCTTTTACCAGCCATACTGCTCTAGCATAAAATTCAGACTATAAAAGTCTGAGACTTCTGTGAGGTAATTTACTTTGTGTTTATATTTGTAGGGTTTGTTTGAGGGATTAAAAGCCTACAGAAAGGATGATGGCAGCATTTTGTTGTTTCGTCCTGAGGAAAATGCTTTGCGCTTGAAGATGGGGGCTGAGCGTATGTGTATGCCTTCACCAACAGTTGAGCAGTTTCTCGATGCAGTGAAAGCTACCGTCTTAGCCAATAAGAAATGGGTAGCTTACCTTAAATCTTTTAGGGTCCCTATTGGAACATGGAAAAAACTAGGAATATTTGAAATCAAAGAGAATTGGGAAACAAAATGATTTAATATTTTAACTCGATGTTTTTAATTTTATGCCTCGTTCAAATAATAGAAGCAAGAAGAGTTATAAATATTGGTTAACACTCTAAAAGTTTTAGTCAAATTTCATTTTCCTTTCTATTTTACAAAGTAAAAATAACGAAACAAAATTAATTTTCTTAAAGCAGATTTCCAATCATTTTTTTACGTTCCAAACATAGCCTCATGGAATCAGCTCTATAAATTATATTTGATGAACTGTTGGAGTTTGATCAATTTTGTCTGGTTACTTGTTTCAGATTCCACCACCTGGTAAAGGATCACTGTATATCAGACCATTGCTTATGGGGAGTGGATCTGTACTTGGTCTTGCCCCAGCTCCAGAATATACCTTTTTAATTTATGTCTCACCTGTGGGTAACTACTTTAAGGTAATGTCTGTCTGAGCTTTGTTAATTACTCAATTTTCTAATAATGCTTCATAATGCTTAATTTTCTAATGTTGCTTATACCTATAAGGGTTTATATACTAGTTGCTTTAAACATTTTGTTTTTCTTTTTTCCGTTTTTAAAAGCCGACCCCAAAATCTATTTGGACTTAGACTTGGTTGTTGTTGATAACGGCAGGAAGGATTAGCACCAATTAATCTGGTGGTTGAAACTGAAATGCATCGTGCATCCCCTGGAGGTACTGGAAGCGTCAAGACTATTGGAAATTATGCTGCGGTATGTCTTTTTTAAAAGCATAATGAATTAATGATTACAGCTTACTATCTAATTACAAGATTCACTTGGGTTAGCATAATATAGTAGCTTTCTTTTTTATTTTATAGGTGCTGAAGGCACAAAGTGCTGCTAAAGCAAAAGGCTATTCTGATGTTTTGTACCTGGATAGTGTTCATAACAAATTTCTGGAAGAGGTTTCTTCTTGCAATGTGTTTGTTGTGAAGGTAAATATAATCTACAGTAAGAGCAGGGGTTGTAAGCTTCATTTCTTTTATTTTACCTTTGATGATATACATAATTAAGGAGTGTTAGGAGGTTTCTTCTTGCAATGTATTTGTTGTGAAGTTCTTTGAATTGGATTCATCCCATTGAATTAGGTGAAAAAAATAGTAACTTTCTAAATTAATTGATAGTGAACCTGTACCTTTCCACACTCCCCTTCTTTCAGGGTAATATGATAATAACTCCAGCAATAAAAGGGACCATCCTGCCTGGCATAACCCGGAAGAGCATTATTGATCTGGCTGTCAGCCAAGGTTTTCAGGTACCATTTTTTTTTTACCCCCAACCAATTTGACATACCCCCATAAAATTCCATTCCCCCCCCCCCCCCCCCCCCCCTTCATTTGTCTTGATCACTTGCATATCACTGGATATGTATATCTGTTAATTTGATTTATGTTTGCAAAAATCCAATAGTTTGTTCCTTCAGACTGTTGTCTCTGCATAGTTTGAATCAAATCATAGTTATTGCTACCCGTCGAACCAGGAACATTTTATTCAATCAGCCTGGTTAGCCCCTGTGTTGTAAAAACCGGACCGGGAAGCAGCTCGGCTGAATGACTGGGTCATGGGTCAACCCGGACCCTGTGGGTCAACCCGGTCAACTTTATATACTCCCTCCGTCCCGTAATTAAGTTCCTACTTTACTTTTTGGGATGGTCCATATTAAAGTTCCTACTTCAAACCTTTCCTTATTTGGCAAATGATTTACACCAAAACAGTGTCAAACAGTGTTCAAACAATGCCAAACAGTGTTCAAACAGTGCACTCCACAGTAAAGTCAAATTTATTTCTTAATATGTGTGAAGTCAAACTAGGAACTTAATTAAGAACCGGAGGGAGTATAATTTATAGTAATAAGCATGCATGATATATATAAAAAATTAAAAAAATAATTATCACTATAATAAATAAATTATACTTCCTCCGTTCTTTTTTAATTGCAACAACCCACTTTTCACGCTTGCCAACACACAAGTTTGACCATTAATACATTTCATTCCTTATTAGTAAAAAATTTAAAAATTCAGATTTTGAAAATTTAAATTAAGAGGAATTATTTTTTTTTTTTGAAAATTTAATTTGTAATATCTCAATAAATAGAATATAGTCAAAGTAGAATATATGAATAGTGCAAAAAGTCCAATGTTGCAATTAAAAGAGAATGGAGGTAGTCATATTTGTACACAATTATATTATTTGTTCCAAAATGTTATTTGATATATTTTAGGCTTAAAAAATTTGAATATTTTAACATAGTGTTAAATAAGAATACTGAAGGTATTTATATTTGAATGCTTAGTAAGAATTTTTGAATATATAATATTGAAATATATTCACATATTCATCATATTCCAAAATATAGATTTAGGCCTGTTTGAATCAACAATATTATTTGAAATCTTATTTTTTACATCTATAATATATTCAGGTTTGATTTTCTTCTTAGAGAAAATATTTAACTATACACTTACCTTTTTCAAAAATAAATATGAACAATTACACTTGGTATAAAATCTTAAAAGTATTGTATAAACATTTATAAGTTATACTACGTATTTGATAATTTGAATGTTATATACATAATCATATAGTATAATAATAGAGATAATAATACCTATCATTATATTTATGATGTAATAGTTAATACGGAGTACCTTATAACTACATTTTAACTTGTATAACTGATATTATTACAAAAAAAGAACACTCCTTAGCAAAAAGCTTCAGTAGTTAGTTGTTCTACATGGCCTCAGTTTTCCGGATTCTTCTGGGATTTCTGGGTTACAACCCATTCCGGGTTAAGCCTGGCCAAAGCGGGTCTTCGGGTTATTCTGGTTTCCACTAACTTTGCGGGCTTATACATGATCAGACCGGTTATGCTGCTGGGCTGCCGGTATTTGGGCCGATCCGCCCTGCCCGGTCCGGTTTATTAAACATAGGTTAGCCCTAGCTATTTCTAAAAAATATTTAGTTATTGCTGTATCATTTTTTAGTATTGCATTATCTAATGCTGTTGTGTGTGGTTTGTGGTGCACATGCTTGGGAACCTCTACACGCGATTGCAACTATGAAAAACTGGTTTAGCGCGTTTTAAAATAAAATTATTGTGTATATTTGGTTTTTTGTAGGTTGAAGAACGATTTGTGTCCGTAGATGAATTGCTTGACGCCGATGAAGTGTTCTGTACTGGTACAGCTGTGGTTGTATCCCCCGTTGGTAGTATAACCTATTTAGGGAAACGGTGAGCCTTCTTATCCAATTCCTTTTTTTTTCTGTCTAGTATATTGAATTACTATGGGTCTTTAATTGGACAATTTATATATTTGACTATTATTTACTCCAGCTATCCCAAGTTAATAGACGTGATTTTAAACTTGCAAATGATTTTTCCATCATTTACAATGGAGCCAAAGATTCATTATTTTTTGGCTTGAAAATATGATGGAATAAAGCAAAATGGCTCACTAAACTGTCTGTGCTTCTTTGTTATGAAGCAGCAGTCAGTCCATGCAATTTTGGACGCGATATTCACTATGGGTCATCCGGAAACAGTCTCTCTATGCTTTAGTACAGGGGTAAGACTGCGTACATCCGACCCCCTTACCCCACCGTAGGTGGGAGCCTTTGCGGTACTGGGGTAAATGAAAATGATGAAAATGATACATACTCGAGTCTTAGTATGACCCTTCTACCTTTTTAAGTTCAATAATTAAATTAGAAATTACTTCAAATAGGACTAAAACTATGGCAAAAACTCAAAATAGGACTTGCTATGTTTTTTATTCCAAAATAGGACCATAGTGGTCCTATTGGAAACATACCCATTTCTTCCTTCCATTCTTACCCCTCCTTTAAATATTAGTAAAAGATAGCTAAAAGTCATAATTAAATGTTTAATTCATTATAAATTCGAAAAAATTTCAATAATTCGTAGAAAAATAATAAAAAATTAATAAAATATAGTAAAACTCCATTAAAAAAGAATTTAAAAAAATATGGATACCTTTCCCATCGCCTGTACTACCTCCCTGAACCACCACCTCCGATCGGTGTAAAAAATGCCACTTTTTTTTTAAATTCCACAAAAATGGCATATTTCTCTATGAGAATGCCAACATTTTCATTCTGCCAACTTGAATCCTTTTGACTTTTGCCAAAAATATGGCATTCATAATTTTTTTGGCATTTTTTACCCCCGGTGACAGGAGGTGGTGGTACCGCCTCCCTGCACCACCACCTCCGACCGTTAAAAAAAATGCCATATTTCCTACAAACTTCCATTTTTTTCGGAAAATGCCAAAAATATGGCATATTTCTCTTTGACAATGCCAACATTTTTTTTCTTCCATCTTAAATCATTCTGAATTATGACAAAAATATGGAATTCATAATAAATTTGGCATTTTTTCCCCAAATGACTAGAGGTGGTGCTGCTGGGGCGGCAGAGGCGGCGGTGAATTTTTTTTTTTTGATTTTTTATTTAATTTTTTTTAATTTTTTTTTTAAATTTATTATTATTCAAAATATTTGTATTAATTTTTTGGTATATTTTACGAATTTTTATTATTTTTTATTATTTTATTATGAATTAAAACATTCCAATAGGTATAAGGGTATATTTGTCCAAGACACACATAATTAGTCCTATGGAAACATAGTTTATTTTTTGGTCCTATTTGTGCAAAGTGAATGACTTTTAGTCCTATTTTGATAATTAACTCTAATTAAATATGTTAATAGTTTTATTTTATTGCAGGAGTTAATATGGCTAAATGAGAAGTTTTGTTAAAAGCTAGAGCATTAAATTTCTAGAGTGATAGTTGTTTAGACAGTAATTTGATCCTAAGACCACTTTAATCTATTTGATTTACTTTGATCTGTCTCTGCCTGCCTTTGTACTGGTTTTACTTTTACTTTGATCTGTCTCTGCCTGCCTTTGTACTGGTTTTACTTTTACTACAGCTTGTGTAGAGTAGGTGAGTTTGTAATATTCTCACATATCTCTTTACCTCTGTCTGAAAAATGAATCTGCAGGGTGACTTATGGAAGCAATGGGGTGGGTGTGGTCTCACAACAATTGTATTCATCATTAACTAGACTTCAGATGGGGATTGCAGAGGATAACATGGGATGGGTTGTTGAGCTCAAGTAATCCATGTTGGTCCTTTGCAGTTTGTTATTATTTATTCAATTTAATGGTCTTTTCCTTTAGTTTATGAGAAGTGTCATTTGTGGAAATGCTGGAATTGGAAATGGTACTATTTGGTGCTCTATGCTATGTGTTTTTGGCTAGATTACATTAAAAAACATTCATATAAACACAATTATCAGTAAGTTTCCCTACCTATATGGTTAGTGTTTAATGGTGTTACCTTGGGGAAGCTTTTTTTTTTTTCCTTTTTCTTTTGCTTTCATATTTCTGAATCTTCTGTCGGCTTGCTTCGAATGCTGTATGTGGCTGGCTAGTTGTCTCGAGGCTCTGGTATGTGTTAGTGGTGTCCTTGAGATACGTTTTGTTTAGATGGCTTTCAGTCTGATAGTCCACCTGGATATTAAGCAGGAAGATGGTCTCAGCTTAATCTTGATGATTCTTGATGATACTGTGCTGGTATTGATCTCGGAACATGGTTGCACTATGCGGTGCCAGAATTGTTTTTCTGATTGGCCATTCAAGTGTGTGGTGTTTCGTAATCCCAGGGAGATGATTTGGCGTCTGATGAGTTAGGTGAGTGAATGATGTAGTTTCGTGTCATCTTAGTATCAATCAATCAATCATCATTTACCCCAGTCCGGCAAAGGCTCCCACCTATGGTGGGGTAGGGGGGTCGGATGTACGCGTCTTACCCCTGTACTAAAGTACAGAGAGACTGTTTCCGAATGACCCATAATGAAAATCGCGTCCAAAAATTGCATTGACTGACTGCTGTTTCATAACAAAGAAGCGCAGACAGTTTGGTGAGCCATTTTGCTTTATTCCATCATATTCTCAAGTCAAAAAATAATGAATCTTTGGCTCCATTGCAAATGATGGAAATTTCGAGTCATCTTAGTGCTGTCATAAATTTGAAAATCTCCAAAGTCGTGTAAGACGAGTCGAGTGTTCTGTGAGCAGTCTTTGAGGCTATCCGCCTATCCCCATTTAGATGTGGTGGGTCTCCTGTTGGAGGTTTGCTAGACAAAGCAAATTTTGGGCACTGATTCACAATCTTCCGTTGATTATGTGCCCGTTTGGTGACAGCTGCATTGGTTGTAGGCGTGGACCCGGTTCGGGCCGCCCGGCCCGGGACCGGCCCGGCCCGTCACTGTGCGGGCCCGGAACCGGCCCGGTTCTCGGGTCCGGGTCCGGGTCCGGTTCGGGCAGAGACCCGGTCGGGTTAGCGGGACCGGGCTCGGGTCCTGGTTTTGGAGGCCCGGCCCGGCCGGGTCGGGCCCGGGCCCGGGCCTAACGGTCCAATATTTAAAAAAAAAAAAAAATTTTTTTTGGGATTCTTTTGGCTCAACGGCCACCCCAAACGGCTATATAGCCGTTGGGTGGTACCAGGGGGGGGGTCAGGGGGGTTTGGGTGGGGGGTGGGGTGGGGGGGTGGGGTGGGGGGGTGGGGGGTGGGGGGTGGGGGTTAAAAAAAAAAACCTATAAATACTCCTAATTTTAAACATTTTTTCACACCTCTTCTCCAACTCTTCTAAATCCTACTCTCTACTCATCTCCATTCTCCAATTCTCCATATTCATCTTCTCTAATTCTCTTATTCTCCTTTATATTTTATTTTACTATTTAATACTTATACAATTATTATATCTACTTATATATTAATTATCTACTTATATAGTTATATATATTATTATCTACATATACTATATTGCTTATATTTCTTATCTACTTAATTTCTACTTATATCTCTTAATACATACATACATACTATATCTACTTAATATATACTTTATATAATAAAGTATTAAATATACTTTATAAACTATTACTATATACTTAATACATAATAATATCTACTTCTCTACTTATATTTTATATATACTTATTTTCCAATCTCCAATTCTCCATTATACTCTAATATTTAATTCTTATACAATTATTATATCCACTTAAAACTTAATACATACATTCTACATCTACTTAATATATATTTTATATATTAAAGTATAAAATATAAGTGTATTACTCATCGTATAGTATAGTATACTTATATATTATATAATATAAACATTATATTATATATTACTTACTATAACTAGTATTATACTAGTTAATTAGTTAATTAGCATTCTTGTTACATTTTTCATTATACTAGTTAATTAGTTCATTACCATTATTGTAACATTTTTCATTATACTAGTTAATTACTTAATTAGCATTCTTGTTACATTTTTCATTATACTAGTTAATTAGTTCAATACCATTCTTGTTACATTTTTCATTATACTAGTTAATTAGTTCAATACTTCAATACCATTCTTGTTACATTTTTCATTATACTAATTAAAATACTTCACATTTTATTTAACTAGTTGTTAGTTTGTTACATTTGTCACTATACTAGTTAACTACTTAATTAGCATTGTTGTTACATTTTTACTTGTACTAGTTATTTACTTCAAAAGTTGCTATAATTTTAATTGTAGAGACACACATTAATTCTACTTTGCAAAAAATTAGTTTGAAGTATTAATTAAAATAGTTTTAATTAGTTGCATTAGTTTTGTATCCATTATTATATTTGTTGTGAATTAATATTTGTTACATTTTTTAGATGGAAGGTGGTAGATATTCGGTTGATTTGGGTAACCTCCAACGCAATCGAAGAAACGAGATTGGGAGGAAGAAATCCCGCAAAGGTAAAGAACTTGCCGGGTCTTCATCTCAAAGTCGAGATGATTTTGAAACGGGTTACCAAAGGCGAGATGGAGATGCGATGTCCGAAGAACAACTCCAACAAGAATTGGCCCGACATAATAACCGCTTTCTACAACAACAACAAATGCCGACGACCATTGACGAAGAGGAGCTTGAGGATGAAGATGCGGAGGAATTGGAACCGGAGACGGCCGAGGAGGAGGGTGCCGGCAGCCACGACGCCGACGCGCCTGCCTCATCCCAAACCGCCACCGGTAATAAAAAAAGTAAGTCTGAACTAATGAAAAATAATTTTGATAAATGGAAGGACCCACAAACCGGCTATTGGCACGCAACTTGCAAGTGGTGCAACAACAATTATAGTTTGGGAACCTCCGGCGGATACGGATCCGCCGCAAGGCATCTTAAGGCAAAGCACCCCGTGGAGTATGCAAAATTAGGCGGCGGAACGGGGAAGCAAACTCAAATATCGAGGTTTGCGAATTCTCAACCTTTTGGTAATTTCTCCTACAATGATGCACAAAATTTGACTGGTATGGCTAACTTAATTTGTGAAGAAAATTTGCCTTATTTGTTTTCTGAAAGTCTTGCTTTAAGAGATTATGCACAAGGTAGTTTAAATCCTCAATTTAGAAATTATAGTCGCAAAACTGTTAAGAAAGAAATAATAAGGCTTTATAATGCGGAAAAGGAAAGGTTACAAAATTTTTTTGCAAACTTTGATGGGCGTGTTACTATTTGTTCTGACATATGGGAGGATGATTTTCATCATTTATATTATTTGGGTCTGACTGCACATTATATTGATGAGGATTGGAATATGCATAAACGTGTTCTTGCTTTTCGTGAATTTAATGATCGTCACACCGCTGAACATATTTATATTTTGATTGAGCGTATTTTAATTGAGTATAATTTGATTGATAAGGTGTTTGCTATTGGTTTCGATAATGCTACTAATAATACTGCTGCTATACCTAGATTGCGTGAGTTGTGTGGTGCCAATTCTTTGATGGGTAGATTTTTTCATCAACGGTGTGCATGTCATGTTATAAATTTATGTGTGCAAGACGGTTTAAAAGCGTTAGGAGATTCCATGGAGGTAATAAAGGGGGGGGGGGGGGGGGTTAGACGTATTTGGGGTAATGGTCAACTTAGATTAAAATGGCAAAGTTATTTGACTGAAAGAGGTGTGAGATATGTTGCTTTTCCTAAAGATTTGAGTATTCGTTGGAATAGTACTTATAAATTACTTAAAGTTGTTCTTAGATATAAAGAACATTTTCCTGCTTTTTTATAAGAACATGATAACTATATTATAAACGCGGCTGAGATCGACACTTGCGAAAAAATTTGTAATGTTTTGATATATTTTTTTAATGCTACTGAAACTTTTAGTCATGTTTATAAACCTACCGCAAACCAATTTATTCCACAAGCTGTTAATCTCGCCGATGCTTTTAAAGAATTTCAAAATGCCGTTTTCGTTCATTATTTTTGTGATTATATGAAGGAAAAGTTTTTAAAATATTATGCGCATATTCCCCATATTTATGGTATTGCATTTATTCTCGATCCTCGTTATAGACTTGCTAATTTGGAAGATTGTTTCAACTTCTATTATCTTGCGTTTTTCGGTGAATTTCCAATGTATGAGGATAACCCCATAGATCCGAAAACGGAATACAACGAGGTTAGTACTTTATTTTATGCTTTATTTAATGAGTTTCGTGCACAATATAGCAACGCTCCCCCTCCCCCGTCACGAACATCTTCATCTAAAGGAAAATCGATTTTTAAATCTGCATTTGGCAATCTTATGAAAAAAACTAAAACAACTCACGTCACTGAACAAAGCGCATTGAATGAGATTACTTTGTATTTAACATATGAAGTTGATTTTGAAGAAAATGATGACTTTGACGTTCTAGACTGGTGGAAGTCAAAAGAAAGAACGTTCCCGATTTTAGCACGGATGGCTAAGCAAGTACTATCAATGCCGGTTTCAACAGTTGCGGTGGAACAAGAATTTAGTTCGGCCGGCAACGTCCTAACGGCATCTAGATCGAGATTGAGCGCGGAGTTTCTTGAGACGCTTATATGCTACCATGATTGGTTGAAGGCCGCACGTAGAACTCAAGAATTGAGCATCACCCCCTCCCAAGATTTTATGGATGACTCAACAACCGATGGTGGCTCTACCTATGCCGGAGATTCCGATTGATTAGTATTTTAGAATTTAGTACAAAATGTATTTTATAGCACTTGTCAAATTTATTTATACTTGTACTTCATATTTCAAAATTGTAAACTTGTACTTCATATTTCAAAATTGTAAATTTGTAGTTGTAGTTCAAATTAATTTGTAAACTTGTACTTCATATTTCAAATAAATATGTGTTCACTTTTTCATATGTAGCACTTCTCAAATTAATTAATTGGTTACAATGTAACGACTTAAAATTATTTTTCTAAAATATAAAGCCGGTTTTTAAATTAAAAATACATTTAGAATATGTAATTTGTTTAAATACTTATACACCTATTTTGTAACATTTGTTTTAGTTTTACTTAATTCATTAAATTAATTAATTTATTTTACAATATGTGTATAACTTAAAAAAAAAAAAAAAATTTCAAAGCTCCCAAACGGCTATATAGCCGTTGGGGCTATGGGTGGGGGGCAGGGGGGTCCCGGGGGTGGTGGTGTGGGGAGTGGGGTTCAAAAACACCTATAAATACATCTATTTTCTAACATTTTTCTACACATTTTCTCCAATTCTTCTCAAACTCTTCTCCATCTTCATCTTCTCTTATTATCCTACATTCCTACTTAATTACTTATACTGTTATACATATACCATTTTAAATATGGAAAGTACATCTTCCCTTATGCAAAACAATTTTGACAAGTGGAAGGACCCAAAGACCGGACTGCGGTGGGCAACTTGCAGGTGGTGCAAGAAAGACTGTTGCTTGGGGCGTTCATACGGATACGGGATGCCAATAAAACATATGAAATCCTGTGACAAAGGGAAAACAACAACCAACGGTGGCGGAAATCCCAATTGATATTCATTACAATTTACAAAATGTATTTCGTATTGTTATTTTTTTCTCAATTCTCAAATGTAGTTCTTATTTCAAATAAATGCACTTGAACTTTGTTTTTAATAGCAATTTGTACAATATATAATTAATAAAAAAAAAAAAAATTATTGGCCCGGCCCGGCCCGGCGGGTGGCCCGACCCATGACCCGGGCGGGTGACCCGGCCCGAACCGGAACCGGTCATTGACCGGGCCGGTCCCGGGCCTACCATTATAGGACCCGAGGCCCGACCGGGCCTTGACCCGGCCCGGGCCCGACCCGGCCCGGGTCCATGCCTAATTGGTTGGAATGGCTGAAAAGTCTGAAAAGACTGAAGTGGAAGTGTTTGGTATTATTTTGGCTGAAATGGCTGATTGAATGTGCAATTACCATAAAGGGTATTAATATTAGTATACCAATAAATAATGTATCCAAGTGTTTTAAATACCAATTAAATAAAAAGTTGTTGGAGTGGTATACTAAAATACGAAGTACTTGGTATAATATTTGTTGAAGACAGTACGTGGCTTCATCAATCTATTACGGAGTAATTGGTAGCAGCACGGAAGTAATCCCCAAGAATTATTTAGCCGTGTTTCCAGAGAGGAGTTTTTGAGTCAAAAAGTATGGATAATAGTAGGGGTGAACAAAAAAACCGAAAAACCGAAACCGACCGACAAACCGACCGAAACCGAACCGACCAAAACCAAAACCGACTCTAACCGAAACCGACTCAAACCGAACAAACATTGGCGGTTCGGTTTACGGTTTCACCTTTGGGGTTAAAAAACCGACCGAACCGAAACCGACCGACAAAAACCGACAAAAACATGCTAAAACTAACCGAAACCGACATGAACCGACCGATATTAACCGAACCGAAACCGAACCGAAACCGACTCAAGTAGTGCGGTTCGGTTTACGGTTTCAGCTTTTCCGGAAAAAAACCGACCAAACCGAACCGACCAAACCGAAAACCGACCAAACCGAACCGACGAACACCCCTAGATAATAGTGTCTTTTAATAGCTTAATAGTAGAAAAATAGATTTCAGCTCAAAAAGTCAGCTATACACTTACTTTTTGGGTTGATCATAAAAACCAGCCACATCAGCCAATTGAATAGGTGTTTGGGTATTTTAATTGATTTTCAGGCTTATAAGCCAGTTCTTAGTCCTCCAAACGGGCACTATAACGGCATTATGTGAAGGTTATTGTGTGTTCAGGAGACTGGTGCGTGAGACACAGACATATTTCCCTAGTTTGGCGCTGGAGAAACTGAAGAAATGGAATAAATTGACTACAGGAGTTGAATGAAAAGAAAATGTCAACAAGCTAACGGATGCTAGATGCATGTCCAAATGGCTGGCTCTTGTTGATGGAAATTGGGTGGAATGCTTCGCCTTTTACGAGTGTTTGGGTGAGGTTGGTTCTTATCATGCCTCTGAATATGGATCATTTGTGTTAGTTTGATAATCTAAGATAGGCATGGACCCGGCCCGGGACCGGCCCGGACCGGCCCGGGACCGGCCCGGCCCGCCACTGTGCGGGCCCGGAACCAGCCCGGTTCTCGGGTCCGGGTCCGGGTCGGGCCTAGGCCCGGTGGGGGGGGCGGGTCCGGGCTCGGGCTTTGTATTTGGCGAACCGGCCGGGTCGGGCCCGGGCCGAATTGATTTTTTTTATTTTTTTTATTTTTTGGGGTGAGCCGGGTTGGGCTTGATGGTTAGGAGGGGTTTGGGGGGGGGGGGTGAGTGGGGGGGGTTAGGAAAGCTAAAAAAAAAATTATGACCGGCCCGGGTCCATGACTAATCTAAGACCATTTGTAGTGGTTGAGAGGTCAAATTGTTAAAAAATGAACTCTGTCGGTATGAAAACAGTGTTTAGACTCTCATTTTCTTGCATTCCAGCACTGTCAATAAAATACACTCAACATATATTTTAACCTATCAATTTAGCAAAACATTAATTAAATTATTATAAGTAATGTTTTGCTTTTAATTTTTTCGCTGAATAATTATGAAATAAAAAATACATATTTCAATGTAAAAATAAATAAATTAAATTAAATTTTTTAACTTTTTTTTGTTAACAAAATATGAACTTAGTTCAAGTAAAGTTTGATTATGGAATATTTGTGAAGGCTCCATGAATTAAAAAATTGTGTTTCATGTTTTTTCGAGATTGAAGAAAACTTCACCAGTTAAAACTTAAAAAAATCATATAATATATTACATATTGGTATCATATGAAAGATCATAAAAATTTATGAATTTTGATATATTTTTTGAAAAATTTGGATAAAAAAAAAGTTATACAAGTTTAAAATATTTTGGGATATTATGATGCAGCGATGACATCAACATGACATCATCTACACAAAAAAGCAACCCAGGACCGTCCTTTCTCTTCTTTTTTCTTTCTTTTTTTCTTTTCCCGCTCTCTTAACCAACCCTCTATATTTAACCCCCTTCATCCACTTTCCCATTTTTAATACCCCTTTTAAAGTACCACTACATATAAAAGGGGATACCCCTTTTAACCCCCTTCATCCACTGAGTTTGTATCTTTCTTCAAAGGATTATTTGGCACCTCGGTTGCGTCTCAAAATTTTGACCCGGAAGTAATGGCCTCGGGTAAAACCACTGATACCATGCTTGCCGCTAACCTTATCAGTCCTATTACTGATTTGGAAATTAGGCAAGCTTTGTTTGATATTGGTAGTGACAAAGCACCGGGACCCGATGGATACTCATCTGCTTTTTTCAAAGCTAATTGGAATATTGTGGGTGAGGGTGTATGTGAGGCAGTTAAGGAGTTCTTTGTATCTGGAACTTTGCTTAGGCAGGTTAACCACACAGTGGTGGCCCTTATTCCAAAAACAAAGCACTCCCCTACTGTCTCTGATTTTAGGCCAATATCTTGTACAAATGTGACGTATAAGATTATTACTAAGATCCTTGCATCTAGGCTTGGTCCTTGTCTCTCAGGTATTATCAACCCTGCACAGGGAGCTTTTGTGGATGGAAGATTGATGTCTGACAACATCTTCCTTGCACAAGAGTTAGTGAGGGGATATGCTAGGAAAAGGGTCACCCCTAGGTGTATGATCAAAATTGATCTTAGAAAGGCTTATGATACTGTCTCTTGGGATTTTTTGGATAGAGTACTTAGACACATTGGTTTACGAGATTTATTTGTCAAATGGATTATGGAATGCGTCACGACTTCTTCTTTCTCTATATCCATAAATGGGGTTCTCCATGGATGGTTTGAGGGAAAGAGGGGGCTTAGGCAAGGAGATCCTATGTCTCCCATGTTATTTGTTATATGTTTAGAGTATTTTTCACGGATGTTGGACATTAGGACCTCTGTTCCTACTTTTTGCCACCACCCTTTATGCTCTAAACAAAAGATTTCACACTTGGCGTATGCTGATGATTTGATGTTATTTTCCAAAGGTAACTACGCCTCTATTAAGATATTGGTGGAAGCTCTAAATGACTATGGCCTAGTCTCGGGACTTACGGTCAATCATGATAAATCCAATATCTTTTTAGGGGGAAATGTAGCTAACCAACTTGCTTATATACTCCAGATGGTTGACTTTCAACAAGGATCCTTTCCTGTAAAGTATTTGGGTATTCCACTTGCACCTTTAAAGATATCTGTAGCACAATTTGCTCCTCTGCTTGACACGGTTACAGATTATATAAATGCGTGGAACACAAAGACCCTATCCTATGCAGGTAGAGTGGAGTTGATTAGGTCAGTTATGCAGGGTGTCCAGTCCTTCTGGCTTGGTATTTTTCCGGCTCCTAAAGCTATACTGGACCGAATTACTGGCATATGTCGTATTTTTCTTTGGGGTGGGAAACATACTAAAGTTGCATGGGATGATGTATGTTTACCTATAGATGAGGGGGGTTTGGGCTTAAAAAATACCAAGGTGTGGAATAATGCTCTCCTATCCCGAACCCTTTGGAACATTCATTCCAAAAAAGACTCTCTTTGGGTTAAATGGGTTAATGGAGTGTATCTCCATGGGAGAGATGTGTGGACATTTGTTCCACACAATAGGGACTCTCTGTTGATGAAAAGGTTTGCTTTGATCCGAGATCTGATTGTCTCCAAATTCTCCTCTATCAATGAGGCTTTAGTTTATCTCGGCAAGATAACTATTGATGGGAGACTATCATCGTCTAAGGTATATGACCTACTTAGGATAAAGGGAACTCCGCACCCTTGGATGTCTTTCATATGGAAGTCATATATACCTCCCAAATTCTCTTTCATTGCTTGGCTAGCTTTTCGTAACAGGCTGGCCACTTATGATAACTTGGAATATCTTGACGTGATTAACGTTTGTCCTTTTTGCAAGGGTGAACCGGAAACGGTGTCACACCTATACTTTGAATGTATTATTACAGGACAGGTTTGGACAAGGATAAAGGCATGGCTTGGAATCACAAGGCAAATGACAACGTTGCGGAGCGCGGTAAAGTGGATAAAGAAGGAGCATAATGGCGCACATATTAAAGCTAAAGCCGTGAGGATAGCTTTTTGCTTCACTATATATTGGATGTGGAGAACAAGGAACTCTATATGTTTTGAGGCGGCGAAGGTCAAGGTGGAAGATATTATACACCATATAAAGTATATGGTCTATAAAGTACTGTTTTCCATATATCCGTACCACATGATAACATTTTGATTTTTGCTGATTCGTCACCAATTTTTTGTGATGGCTAGCATGTACATGTAGCTAGTTGGTTTTTGTAGGGTGACAAGGCATCCAATTCGGATGACCGGTAGGGATTTTGTTATTGCACAGTTGTACATAAACACTTTGGATATATAATTTACAGTTTATCCAAAAAAAAAAAAAAAGGAGTCCAAAAATTCTATATTTAACTTTTTAGACTCCTAATACCTCTCCACTCCAAATGGTCTAAGTCAGGGTTTTAAATAGCGGCCCGCTACCGCTATAGCGGCCGCTATATAGCGGTCGCGGTAGGGGCCGCTACCGCTACGGCCCGCTATTCCGCCGTGAATTCCAAATCATGGGAAAAACCCGCTACGCCGCCCGCTACAGCCCGCTATTGACATTTCCGGCAGTACGTCATGAACGGGTTGATGTGTAAATGTGTCTATGTTGTGTAAATGAACACTTAATGTTATAAGTGTTCAAACAAATATTCACAATGTTTGTATTAACTTCAACACTCATTAAATATATGTTTTGCGCAATTGAAAATATTTCACGCCGCTGCAATCGCTACAGTCGGCTACAGGCCGCTACAGGCCGCTACCGCGATGACCGCTACCGCTACCGCGATGACCGCTACCGCTACCGCTGTCGCTACGGCTATCTAAAACCTTGGTCTAAGTGGTCGTGGACAGCTTCCGCTAGAGCCTAATTGTCACGCCCCGGACCTCCCCGGACACGTCAACAACCCGCGGTACAATACGAATAGTCAACCGCAGTCCAACACATTCATATTATACAAGGCGTCATGAATATCATTCACACATAAGTCATCCATAAACAACATAATAAGTAATTCATAAAGCAGCGGAAAACATTGTTTAAAACAAAAGGGCCACACAGGGCTATTCATGAGCACGCAGGCTCCATACTAAAATATCCATGAGCAAGTTTAATATTATTTAAAAAAAACAGAATGGAGGAAGCACGAACCAAGTCTTCTCTCCAAGGAATCACTCGATCAACGAGCACAGGAAGCAAGCTCTAGCCTCAACCTGAAATGGTGGTGGGACGCCCCCGAAGGGGTCAGTACTCTATACGGCTATAAAGTACTGGTGTGGCAGGCATCTAATAGATATACAACAAGTATTTCAAACACAAGACCCTCAAGTAGGGTGATAGTACATTATGATTGTAACCCTAAGTTACCCCGTTTAAAAATATACTTACTTTATATAAAAGTCAAGTAGTCGGCCCGTGGGCCCGTTTTCATTTGGAAATCACCATTCCCAACCCCGTGGCTATAAGCCACGACAACTCCTAGAGTCCAACCCTAGTACATGACATTGTATTCTAGAGCTCGGCTCTACTACATCACCATACAATTCATATACCTCGGGTCAATTTCCTTACCTTGCGTTCTAGAGCTCGGCTCTATTACATCACCACGCAAGTCCTAGAGCTCGGCTCTAGCTATACAATACATAGACTCCAAGTCTACACCTTACATGCATTCTAGAGCTCGGCTCTATTACATCACCATGCGTTAAGGTCCAATTCTCAAGCAACCCTATGCCTAGAATTGACATATCATTAAACTACTTTGGGTCATCCTTAAAGACTTCCCATAACTTAACCTTAGTTCCAAACTAAGTTATTATATACACTTGAACTATATTCAAGTACCTTTCATACAATCCAATCCCTAGGATCAATTTAATCAACAAGTTCCAATAATCACTAACTAGTATTTCAATACTATTAAGATTATTGTTATCATACCATTATCCTCATTATTTGTAATTCTCTACATATTTATAATTGTGTAGCAGCAACTTAAGTATTCAATCTCAATACACAAATATTCATTTATGTATCCACATAATTCATACATGAGCAAAATGCCCATTTTCACAAAATAGTTCATTTATACTCATTTAATCTCACATTATTCATACCTTCTCAAATCATTTCAAATTTCATTCCTTGGCAACTATATCAATATTTCATCAATATATAATCATCATAATCCATGAAAAATCATGATTTAAGCATTTAGGTAATCTCATGCTTAACCTACAAGTTGTAAGCAATTAGATGTCAATCCTCACCTTAAAGAGCTTTAGACTTCCTTTCACGCTCCAACGACCAAGGCTCGGCCAAGGAAGGTTGCGAGCTAACTCCTTGCGTTAAAAAATGAGTGGGCAGCAGCCTTCTCTCAGCAGCTGGCTCAGCAGCCGGCTCTCAGCAGCTGGCTCCACCCTCCTGCCACGAAACTAAACAGTCCTCTTGAAGAGGTGTTCCCCGGCAAGTTCACTTCCTAACCGTTCAAGGTTCATTTAAGGTTAGTGCCTAACCTTTAAACTCACATGTCTAACATTTCATGAATACATTCTACCCTAAGAACAAAGTGGAATAGCCTCCTAAACCTTACATATGATCTATGTAAAGAAGAGGAAGTTTTCGGGTTCAACTCACCTCTAGAGAAGAAGAAACCCTGCTGCAGGGTCGTACTTTCCAACGCAGATTTGGAAGCCTTCCTCAACTCCGATCGTCGCGATCTACACCATTCCAGAATCCTTGTTTTAAGATCTTTCTCTGGACACCTCACACGCCTGATTTGGACGAGTGAAGCTCAAGATATGGGCTGAACAATCAACCCCTACGCACAGTGACGAAAACTGCGAACTGCTCTCTCCTTTCTCTCTTTCTCTGTTCTGATCGGTTCTCTTCTCTTAGAAGCCAAGTAAATTCTAATGGGGGGTACTAAGGGTGCCCCTTAGGCCTCCCAAAAGGTTATTCCCCTTGTGTGGAGTGGAAAGAATGGGATGTGGGTTATCCTCCACCAAGTGTCACAATCAAGTACAAATGGGGTCCAATCCTTATCATTTTATTCTCTACACAAACCCACCCCATCATGGTCCGCCCCAAAAGTCAAAATACCATATTCTCTTTGTCTTGTAAGTGCCAAGGAGGTGTGGTACGCACCCCCTTCGGTCCAAGTCAGCCCGGAAGGAAAATCCTTACCGATAATTCCTTACGGAGTAAAATTGAGTGTTATTATTTGTGCCTTCGTAATGCGATTTCTCTCCATATAATATCGGGCATTTATACTAACCAAGATGGCCCACATCGGTATTTGGAAACTCACTCACGAAACACGGATCTCAAAGATAGGTTAACAAACACAAGTTACATCAAACACTACTCGTTTCACACAATGTCAAGCATGAGTTACATAAGATAACACACGTGTTACACACGGCTGGTAATAACAAGTTCAAAACATCAATTACGAAACTTTTGAATAGTAAATTCGGGTACACACGGGTGCGGTGTCACAAGTTCACCCCCCCTTAATAGGAATTTCGTCCCCGAAATTCACAACGTTACTCGAATAGGAATGCATATTGCTTCCTCATCAGAGCCTCCGTTTCCCAAGTCTCTTCTTCGACCCGGTCACTCTTCCAAAGGACTTTAACCATTGGAACTTCTTTACTCCTCAGTTTCTTCACTTTTCTGTCAATAACTCTTACCGGTTGCACGGCATAGTTCAAATCTTCACGTACCTCCACGGGCGGCTTCTCCAACACATGAGAAGGATCATGCACATACTTCTTAAGCATGGATACGTGAAACACATTATGAATCTTCTCCAACTCGGGAGTCAACTGTAGACGATACGCCACGGCCCCAATTCTCTCTAGAATTCTGAATGGCCCTATGTAGCGTGGGTTAAGCTTCCCTCGGCTCTGGAACCGGATGATCCCTTTCCAAGGAGAAACTTTAAGAAACACCTCGTCATCAACCTTAAACTCTAAGGTTCTCCGACGTCTATCGGCGTAGCTCTTCTGTCTGTCTTGTGCCGTTTTAAGCCTCTCTCGAATTAACTTCACCTTTGATTTGGTGACCTCCACCAACTCAGTACCCTCGAGTTTGGCCATGCCAACCTCGTCCCAGCATAACGGTGTACGACACCTCCTCCCATACAGTGCCTCGTATGGAGGCATGCCGATGCTTGCCTGATAACTGTTGTTATAGGCAAACTCCACAAGTGCTAAGTGGTTGTCCCAACTCCCCTGGAACTCCAATGCACAAGCCCTCAGCATGTCTTCTAGGATCTGTATAACCCTTTCAGACTGCCCATCCGTCTGTGGATGGAAAGCAGTGCTGAACTTCAACTTCGTTCCCATAGACTCCTGGAATTTCGGCCAAAAACGTGATGTGAATCGTGGGTCTCTATCAGATACAATGGTCACCGGGACCCCATGCAGCCTCACGATCTCATCCGTATACAATTTGGCTAACCTCTCAAGTGGGTAGGTAGTGTTGATAGGCAAGAAGTGTGCACTCTTTGTGAGCCTATCCACAACGACCCAAACCGCGTCATAGTTCCTGATAGTCCGTGGTAAGCCTACCACGAAATCCATAGTCACGTGCTCCCACTTCCATTCAGGGATGGAGAGTGGTTGCAATAAGCCTGCTGGGTGCTGATGTTCTGCCTTAACTTGTTGACAAGTAAGGCACCGACTGATGTACTCGGCTATTTCCCTCTTCATTCCAGACCACCAGTAACTTTCCTTCAAATCACGGTACATTTTCGTGCCCCCCGGGTGCATGGCATAAGCCGATGAATGAGCCTCCTCTAAGATGGACTTTCGTAGCTCATCATCTGACGGTACACACACTCGATCACGAAATAACAAGAGACCATCATCTCTTTCCCTGAAATCCTCCATCGGCCCCGCTTGCATGCGTTCCCGGACCTTCATAAGTTCTTCGTCGGCTTCCTGACCCTTCTTGATCTCATCAAGTAAAGTGGGTCTCACCTCAAATCGTGCCAATAAGGCACCATCGCTGGTTACCTCCAGTTGGGCTCTTAATGCCCTCAAATTAGTTATCAATGCCCCAGACGAGCTCTTCCGGCTCAAAGCATCTGCCACCACGTTTGCCTTGCCTGGGTGATACTCTATCACTAGATGGTAGTCTTTTATCAGCTCCATCCACCGTCTCTGTCTCATGTTTAGCTCTTTCTGAGTAAACACGTACTTCAAGCTCTTGTGATCAGTGTATATGTGACATGTCTCCCCGTAGAGATAATGTCTCCATATCTTCAGTGCAAATACCACTGCCCCGAGCTCCAAATCATGAGTAGGATAATTCACCTCATGCTTCTTCAATTGTCGTGAAGCATAGGCGATTACCCTCCCATTCTGCATCAGTACACATCCGAGCCCTTGGATGCTCGCATCGCTATAGACATCGTACCCCACACCTTGTTTGGGTAATGCAAGTACCGGTGCCTCAGTCAATCTCTTCTTTAGTTCCATGAACCCTTTCTCACATTTGTCATCCCATACAAACTTAGCTCCTTTACGAGTGAGCTTCGTCAATGGCGATGCCAAAACAGAGAACTTCTCCACGAACTTTCTATAGTAGCCTGCCAATCCAAGGAAACTACGAATTTCCTTGACGTTCTTTGGCCTCTCCCATTCAGTAATGGCTTCTATCTTCTTGTTATCAACAGCAATCCCCGATCCCGAAACCACGTGCCCGAGGAAGCCAATCTCCTTTAGCCAAAATTCACATTTAGAAAATTTGGCATAGAGTCGCTTCTCCCGTAGTGTTTCAAGAACAAGTATCAAGTGCTCCTCATGCTCTTCTTCACTCTTTGAGTAAATCAAGATGTCATCTATGAACACAATCACGAATCGATCCAAGTATTTATGGAATACTCGGTTCATCAAGTCCATGAATGCCGCCGGGGCGTTTGTTAACCCAAACGACATAACAAGGAACTCAAAATGCCCATACCTTGTGCGGAAAGCACTCTTTGGTATGTCATCTTCCTTAATCTTCAATTGATGGTACCCCGACCTTAAGTCAATCTTCGAAAACACGGTTGCTCCTCGTAGTTGATCAAACAAGTCATCAATCCTAGGCAACGGATACCTATTCTTGATTGTGACCTTGTTCAGTTGACGATAGTCAATGCACATTCGAAGTGTCCCATCTTTCTTTTTCACAAAAAGAACCGGTGCTCCCCACGGGGAGTGGCTTGGTCTAATGAAACCGTTATCCAAAAGCTCTTGCAATTGGGTTTTCAACTCGTTAAGTTCAGCGGGTGCCATCCGGTATGGCGGTATGGAGATTGGTTTGGTACCAGGCTCGACCTCGATCACAAATTCAATCTCTCTGTCAGGTGGAAGCCCCGGTAGGTCTTTAGGGAAGACATCCGGATACTTACAAACCACCCTCACATCATCGATGTTCGTTTCCTCTTTGGTTTTGTCAACCACGTATGCTAGATATGCGTGGCATCCCTTCCTCATCATATTTCTCGCTCTCACGGCGGATATGATACAACTATTTGATTTGCCGCGGTCCCCCTCGAAGCGTAGGGTGTTCCCCTGTGTGCCTTCGAGTTCCAACACCTTTGTGTAGCAATCTACCCTAGCATGATGCTTTTCTAGCCAATCCATCCCTAGGATTGCATCGAACTCCATCATACTCAGCGGTACGAAATCACACGTCAAGGTTTGGCCACCGATTTCCACCATACAAGATGGATAGTAATTGTTTCTTTCAACGTCTTCCCCTAGTGGGGTTGATACCACTAAGGTTTGTGTCATTGGTATTGATTGCATCTCTAAGCTCTCGGCAAACGCCTCACTCACGAATGAACGTTGCGCTCCGGTATCGATAAGGATTCGTGCATCCTTCCCGTTAATCTTTAGTGTCCCTACATTCATGAACCATGTAAGACATCTTTCCTACCCTCCCTACTCATTTATAGAAGGTTGCAATGTTCATACGCACGTTAGGGATCAAGAAGAGGCCTTAACGTCGCAAAACGGTGCGAAAAAATCTCATTTCGGCAAACTGGGTGCCAGGCACGGCGTGCCTGGGGTAGGCACGATCGTGCCTGGCTTGGGGAAACGCCCAGGGTGCCACTGCCTTGGAGGCACGATCGTGTCTGCCTTAGGCACGATCGTGCCTGGGTTGGGAATTTTCCTGGGCAGCTACTGACTTTGAGGCACGATCGTGTCTGCCTTGGGCACGATCGTGCCTGGGTTCCAGCTGCCTGAAGTTGCCCGAAATCCCCCGGTTCGACCCCCAAACCTTGTGCAATGGTCCAAACGATTAGTAACCTTAATTTATGGACTAATTTAGGACAAAACACTAGTATACGAGAGGTAATACCTGCAACGGAATCCGGATTAGCTTGAGCATCCGCCTCCGTCATCGCGTAGACCCTAGCCTGGGTCCTTCCTTGGTTCACGGACGGCGCGTTGCTCGCGCTTGCTCCCCCATGTCCCCGGCTTGCTTGAGAAGCCCCGGGTTGATTCCGTGTACCCGTCGGGCCACTACTTGGTCCCGATGTCCTTGCCCCGTCCAGTTGTGGGCAATGCGCCTTCAAATGCCCGGCATCCCCACATTGAAAGCATCTAGGGGGGTCGCGACATTTACCGGAGTGGTTCTTCTTGCAATTGTTGCAACGAGTTACCACCGAGGTTTGTGACCTCGAGCCTTGCCCACTCGGGCCTTGGTTCCCCCTAGACGGTGGCGGTGGTGCCCGGAAAGATCCTCCTCCGTGGTTCCCCTTTTTGCTGGAACCTTGGGAGCCATGACTCTCCCATTTCCTCTTTTTCGCCTCCTCGGCGTCTCTCTTCTTCCGTTCCTCCCACTGTTTCTCCCCTTTCAATGCTTGTTCAACCACTTGGGCGAAAGTCATATTAGGCAATTGCGTTGCCCTATCACGTATCTCCAAGTCAAGAGCGTCCCAAAAGTGGTTCACCATGCGGTTCTCGTCACAAGCATACTCCGGTATGTAGTCGGCGAGATCCCGGAACTTGTACTCAAGCTCCTTCACCGACATGTTACCCCCTTGGGTTAGGAGGGTGTATTCCCTCACCTTCTTATTCACCTCGAAATCAGAATAGTATTGGGCAAAGAACTCCCGTTGGAAGTCCTCCCAAACGACGGTCTCACCGTACTTGTTCTTGGTTCCATCCCACCACTTGGATGCCATCCCCTCGAGCAATCTTACCGCAATTCTCAGTTTGAGATTCGGCGCGATTTGCATGTCAAGGGCCGCTTCATTTAGCCTCTTGATCCATTGTGCTGCCACTGAAATGTCCCCTGCTCCATCAAAGGGTTTGCACCCCAAATCTCTTGCTTCTTTGATGTATTTGGAGATCCTTATGGTTGGACCCCCATCATTTTGGCCTCCACGTGGTTCCACATGGACTCTAGATGCACCATGACTTCCTCCTCGTGAAGCCATGCCCGAAGGTTGCCCAGCCCGGCGCCTTCGGCGTTCCCTCCTCTCTTCACGCTCACGGTGATATTGTTGGAGTAGTGCCTCAATCCGCGCTAAGGATCCGTTGTCCTCCTCATCACTTACATCATCATCATCCCCTTCATAAGGGGTTTCAACCGGCTCTGTTTCCGGCCGATAGGTCGAGTCCTCATAGGACCAGTAGGTTTCACTTTCAGTGTCGACATGACCGTCACTCACGGTCTGTGATCGGCCTCCACGGCCAGCTCCTCTAGATGCCCTAGAGGTCGTTCGACTGCCCTGTCCAGCCTCCACTGGTACACGGCCAGTCGGGTTTCTCCTAGTAATCCTGCCACCACGGTCCATTTCTGAAAGAAATTTGGAAAGAGTCGTTAGACTCGTATCAAATGTCAATTGACGGATAAGTACTTAAGACACATTTTGGCTCGAGTCACCGCCATACCAATTGCTAAGGGTACCATCTTAACAATTAGAGACCTTGCAACCCAAGTACCAAAAGCTCTCCAAGTACAAAACTTCTATGCTCATGGTTTTCAAAATCTTTTCAAAAAGAGAATTTTGAGACTTCATTATGAAGTTTATGGACTAAGGCTCTGATACCAACTTAATTGTCACGCCCCGGACCTCCCCGGACACGTCAACAACCCGCGGTACAATACGAATAGTCAACCGCAGTCCAACACATTCATATTATACAAGGCGTCATGAATATCATTCACACATAAGTCATCCATAAACAACATAATAAGTAATTCATAAAGCAGCGGAAAACATTGTTTAAAACAAAAGGGCCACACAGGGCTATTCATGAGCACGCAGGCTCCATACTAAAATATCCATGAGCAAGTTTAATATTATTTAAAAAAAACAGAATGGAGGAAGCACGAACCAAGTCTTCTCTCCAAGGAATCACTCGATCAACGAGCACAGGAAGCAAGCTCTAGCCTCAACCTGAAATGGTGGTGGGACGCCCCGGAAGGGGTCAGTACTCTATACGGCTATAAAGTACTGGTGTGGCAGGCATCTAATAGATATACAACAAGTATTTCAAACACAAGACCCTCAAGTAGGGTGATAGTACATTATGATTGTAACCCTAAGTTACCCCGTTTAAAAATATACTTACTTTATATAAAAGTCAAGTAGTCGGCCCGTGGGCCCGTTTTCATTTGGAAATCACCATTCCCAACCCCGTGGCTATAAGCCACGACAACTCCTAGAGTCCAACCCTAGTACATGACATTGTATTCTAGAGCTCGGCTCTACTACATCACCATACAATTCATATACCTCGGGTCAATTTCCTTACCTTGCGTTCTAGAGCTCGGCTCTATTACATCACCACGCAAGTCCTAGAGCTCGGCTCTAGCTATACAATACATAGACTCCAAGTCTACACCTTACATGCATTCTAGAGCTCGGCTCTATTACATCACCATGCGTTAAGGTCCAATTCTCAAGCAACCCTATGCCTAGAATTGACATATCATTAAACTACTTTGGGTCATCCTTAAAGACTTCCCATAACTTAACCTTAGTTCCAAACTAAGTTATTATATACACTTGAACTATATTCAAGTACCTTTCATACAATCCAATCCCTAGGATCAATTTAATCAACAAGTTCCAATAATCACTAACTAGTATTTCAATACTATTAAGATTATTGTTATCATACCATTATCCTCATTATTTGTAATTCTCTACATATTTATAATTGTGTAGCAGCAACTTAAGTATTCAATCTCAATACACAAATATTCATTTATGTATCCACATAATTCATACATGAGCAAAATGCCCATTTTCACAAAATAGTTCATTTATACTCATTTAATCTCACATTATTCATACCTTCTCAAATCATTTCAAATTTCATTCCTTGGCAACTATATCAATATTTCATCAATATATAATCATCATAATCCATGAAAAATCATGATTTAAGCATTTAGGTAATCTCATGCTTAACCTACAAGTTGTAAGCAATTAGATGTCAATCCTCACCTTAAAGAGCTTTAGACTTCCTTTCACGCTCCAACGACCAAGGCTCGGCCAAGGAAGGTTGCGAGCTAACTCCTTGCGTTAAAAAATGAGTGGGCAGCAGCCTTCTCTCAGCAGCTGGCTCAGCAGCCGGCTCTCAGCAGCTGGCTCCACCCTCCTGCCACGAAACTAAACAGTCCTCTTGAAGAGGTGTTCCCCGGCAAGTTCACTTCCTAACCGTTCAAGGTTCATTTAAGGTTAGTGCCTAACCTTTAAACTCACATGTCTAACATTTCATGAATACATTCTACCCTAAGAACAAAGTGGAATAGCCTCCTAAACCTTACATATGATCTATGTAAAGAAGAGGAAGTTTTCGGGTTCAACTCACCTCTAGAGAAGAAGAAACCCTGCTGCAGGGTCGTACTTTCCAACGCAGATTTGGAAGCCTTCCTCAACTCCGATCGTCGCGATCTACACCATTCCAGAATCCTTGTTTTAAGATCTTTCTCTGGACACCTCACACGCCTGATTTGGACGAGTGAAGCTCAAGATATGGGCTGAACAATCAACCCCTACGCACAGTGACGAAAACTGCGAACTGCTCTCTCCTTTCTCTCTTTCTCTGTTCTGATCGGTT